CGAGAAATATTATTTCCCTTCATAGTTTGTACAAGCAACGATTCACATTTTCATTTGATAATAAAATTGGTGCTATTGATGATTTTTATAATGATGTATTTTATTTTAAAGCATTACCTTGTGATGGTGTATATGAAACTGTTTCGACTGTAGACAACTTAGGAAATAATGTATTTCATATTGATTCTTCTATTACTTTTAATAAAAACATCCTTGTGGCATTGTCATATTGGACATGTCAACAACAAGCGCATAGGCCAACTCCACAAGGCTGGAGTTTTGGAATCATTTGACCTAAAATCAAATGATAGTTGCGAGTCTTGTTTACGTGGAAAACTGACAAAGTTACCCTTCACTGGTTCTTGTGAGAGGGGTGAAGGTTTGTTGGATCTCATACACACAGATGTGTGTGGACCCTTCAAAACCGCCACTAGGGATGGTAATCGCTACTATGTGACTTTTACTGATGATTACAGTGGATATGGATATATCTACTTAATCAAACATAAGTCAGAAACCTTTGAAAAGTTCAAAGAGTTCAAGCAGGAAGTGGAGAATCAACTGGGCAGGAACATCAAGATCCTCCGATCCGATCGGGGAGGAGAGTATCTTAGTATTGAGTTCCTTGACTATCTTAAGGAATGTGAGATTGTCTCACAATTAACACCTCCTAGGACACCACAACTGAATGGCGTGGCTGAGAGGCACAATCAAACCTTGTTGGACATGGTTCGTTCCATGATGAGTCGAGCTTCGTTACCAATCTCATTCTGTGGGTATGTCTTAGAGACTGTCGCCCATATCCTTAATCTATTCCCTACCAAAAAGGTTGCCAAAACACCTCATGAGATGTGGACTGGGAAAGTTCCTAATTTAGACCTCATCAATATTTGGGGTTGCGAGGCTTTCGTGAGGCGCGAGTCTCACGACAAGCTCGAACCTTGAAGTGAGAGGTGTATTTTCATCGGCTACCCACATAAATCCTTTGGTTACCTCTTCTACAGACCCAGTGAGAATGTGGTCTTTGTAGCTAGAAGAGGAGTCTTTCGTGAGAGAGAGAGAGTTCATAAGCCAAGGAAACAGTGGGAGGCAAATTGACCTTGAAGAAATTCAAGAGTCCAGTGGTGAAGGAACCTCAAACCCTAGTAATCAACGTGAGGAGGAAACTGCTGTTGATTCGACTGACGAGCCCATACCTCTGAGGCATTCCACGAGAGTTAGGAATGCACCTGAGCATTACTATGGTTTCCATATTACTGCGGTAGGTGATATGCTTATAAGTGATAGTACACTGGTAAGTCTGGATGAACCTAACAGCTACACGGAAGCCATGGCAGGCCCTGAGGCTGCTAAATGGAAAGAGGCTATGGACAACGAGATACAATCCATGTATGACAATCAAGTTTTGAACTTGGTTGACAATGTACCAGTTCGTAAGACAGTTGGGTGCAAATGGATCTTCAAGAAGAAGACCGACATGGATGGTAATCTACACACGTATAAGGCGCGACTGGTTGCAAAGGGCTTTTCTCAAACTCTGGGAGTTGATAATGATGAGACCTTTTCACCAGTAGCAAAGATTAAGTCTATTAGGATCCTGTTAGCCATTGCTGCATTTCATGATTATGAAATATGGCAAATGGATGTCAAAACCGCCTTCCTTAATGGAAATTTGGCTGAAGATGTTTACATGTGTCAACCAGAGGGTTTTGTCAGTACAGAATACCCTAATAGAGTGTGTAAGCTTGAGAAATCCATCTATGGATTGAAACAAGCACCTCGCAGATGGAATCTTTGTTTCGATGAGAAAGTCAAAGAGTTTGGCTTTTCGAGGAGTGAGGATGAGTCAAGTGTATATGTTAGGGCTAGTGGGAGTATAGTTAGTCTTTTGGTACTGTATGTGGATAACATACTACTCATAGGAAATGATGACTTGAGAGAAGTGACTTGAGATGGAATCTCAGGTACCTACGGAGGACTAAGGACTGGGTTCTTATCCTCAGTGGGAGTGATGACTTGAGAGTAGTATGGTATAGCGATGCTAGTTTTCAGACTGATAGGGATAATTTCTGCTCTTAGTCAGGCTGGGTCTTTACCCTAAATAGAGGAGCAATTACTTGGAAAAGTTCCAAGCAGGAGACAGTAGTTGATTCTACTTGTGAATCAGAGTACATAGCAGCAAGTGAAGCGGCAAAGGAGGCGATATGGATGAAGAACTTCATTGGAGACCTTGGAGTTGTACCAACTTTACAGGAGCCTATGGACATTTTATGTGACAGCAATAGTGCGGTTGCCTTAGCCAAGGAACCAAGAGATCATGGCAGATCCAGACACATTGATAGAAAATATCACTTCATAAGACACAAGATAGAAGAAGGACTCCTCGTGGCAAAGAGGGTATCGTCAGAAGAGAACCCTACAGATCCCCTCACCAAGGGACTGACTAGGGTTAGACATTTGCAGCATGCGAGGAGCATCGGGCTAAGAGACGGTATTAGTTTTAAAAATTAGATAGCTATTACTGAAACTTCTAAAATGTAATTGACATTTGATGATTAAATAAAAGTTGTTGTTTATTTATAAGGAATGTGTTACTATCTTATGTTAATCGGTTACTATAGTTTCAGTTTTGCATGTTTTGAATTCCAGGATAATTATTTTATTCAAAACTCTCCACAGTCGGTCATACGTTGGAAGTAGGTATTGAATTAATACTGTCATGAATTTGGATTGTATGATTTGTCTAAGGTGCATTAGACATTGCAATGGTTGCTACAACATTCATGAGTACTCATAAGGTCTGAGTTTTGGATTAAACCCACGCTCACTTGTATCACTTCATGGAATTTATCTCGAGTGATCGTGAGACGGTAATATCATATATATCTTCAAACCTACAGATGTGAGTTGTTGACTATGAGTTGGTTGTCCATTGATTGTACGAAAACGCATCAGTAACTTGGTGTCATAAAACGTGCTTTTGTGCATAATTCAACTAGTAGTTAGTACAAGCATATGAGTCGAAGTTTATCTGTTCCTTCTAGCAATAGAAGCGATATCTGGGCCCCTCGATGATTTGGTTTTGACTTATGTGAAGGGCCCAGTCAGAACCTGATTGATGTGTTCAATTTAGTTCTATGTCAAACAAATCAGGGATCGAGAAACAACTACTGGACAATAAGTATGACATTGTTCCATGTATTTGTCCGGCTGATATCTTGAGAACAGAGGATTATATGATCACTTATCTAAAATGACACTTCATAGTTCAACAGAGTTTTAAAGAGCTACGATTGCTAGTTGGTTCCTGAAGTTATACTTGCAACTATAATTATCAGACTTATCCAAGTGGGAGACTGTTGGATAAGGTGTCCAAGTCCGTAACTATATTTTATATGAACTTGACTCGACCCGGCATGGTCCATTTGGGTTGCACTTCACCTAACAATTTGTATGGATATACTTTTGAGAATAAGATGTTTATGATCTCTTAATATATTATAAGTTATAATATATTAATATGAAATCATCTTATTTAATTAGTGTTGATCAAGAATTGATTTTGGAATTAATTTAAAGATCAAAAAGAGGCTAATTAAATATGGACTCTTACATATATATGGATTGGGCTAAGATTTATTTAGGATGGGCTAAGAGTATATGGAAGTCCATGGATAGTCCATGGAGCTTTTAATCCATGGATCCTAGGTAAATGAAGAGTCATGGGTATTAAGGTGTAACCCTAATCCTCCATACTATATAAAGAGGTCCTTGGTTCTTGAATTGGCACTAGTGTGTGTGAGAAACAAGAGTGGGACGATTTTAGAGAGCATCATATTATCTCAAGTATATCCAAGTTGTTTCGGGTGATTTGTGACACCACTTGAGGCATCCACACTATTGGTGCTAGGCTCTAAAACTCCAAGGAATCAACCACAAAAGAAAGGTATGTTATTCTACTTAAAGTTTTGTATTACAAGTACCCCATAACATGGTAGTTAGGTTGTAAACATTGGAAATCAAATTTGCATGTATTTTAGAGAAAACATAGATCCAATGTTTCTAGGGTTGCATGTACACCATAAGAGTGTTAAAATGCTCAAAATCCAACAGATACATGTGTATAGTAATCATATATGTTATTACTTCAATTACATCATGATTTCATTGCATTTTTGTAAGATAAAGCATTTAGTTAGTTCGTTTGTTTGTTATATCAAACAATTGAATTGTATGATTGTTTATATTAAATGTTCATCAGTAAAAATATATGTGGTGTACGGGAATTCTGATGTACATTGTATCATCCTTGTTTTCCTTAATTAACATGCTATCAACATGATACCATCCTTTATATATCATTGACCATTTATTGTAAAGCTTATTACTTTAGATATAACATCCTTCTTTTATTGAACTTATGTTCATAAAGAAATTTTGTGGTTACATAAGTTTATGTTAATAAGTGAAATTAGGAACATATTTTGTGCTTATTCTTTGTGCATAAACTCAATTAGATACCGATTTCATTGCATTATATGTTAATTCGTTAGTGAACATAATGTCATGTACATTTACTGATTTTGCTTATTTGTAATCTTATTTGTAGGTATATTAGGCATGACTAAAGGATATTTGAAAATAAAAGCAAGCGGAAGACTAAGGAAGACTCATCATGTGATGAATTGATGTCCTCCGGTATATATAATTTGATATGAGAGTATAACAATTTTATTAACATATTATAAATTTAGAGTGTTATTATTAACTATAGGTCATAAAATATAAAATAAATCAAGTAAAAAGAAAAAGGGAAAGTATAGCATTGGTGTACGGTTCAGGTGAAGAATAAAGAGAAGAAGAGGAAACGCAAAAACACATCTAGCAACATAATTAAATTTGATTCCCCTATACATAAAACATCAGCTAGGGCAAACCTGAAGCCGCTTTTTACCATTCTTGCAAGTCTAAACGATGAACAACTAGATGTTGTGCGGGATATGGTATTTGAATCTTTGATTGAAATGAAAGTTAACGGTTTTCCTACAAGCCTAGGGTTTTATGTAGTTTACCATTTCGATCTAGTAAGAATGCATATTATTCTCGACATTGGTTTTATTTAGGTAACTGCTACAAGGACACATAAGATAGTAGGATTACGGAACGGAGGTGTTAATAATCTGCAAGTTCCGACATCATCTGATGACAATGAAGAGTTAATAGAATGGAAACGTTTGTACGATAATAGAGCATTGAAGATGAGCGATATCTGCAAGCATATCATAAGTTATTTGGTGGCAAATATGTTGTTTAAGATTGAATTTTTGTATTGGTCGTGAATTTATTGTTGGAGACATATCTCGTTAATGTCTTCAAAACCTCGATTGTTCAACACCTTTTAGGCGGCGTGTGTGTGTGTGTGTATATATATATATATATATATATATATATATATATATATATATATCAAAGTTGTAAAAATCGGCCTAGGCGGCCGATTAATCGGCGCCTAGGCGCTAGGCGGACTGCAACCGATCACGTTTATGTGTAATCGCTCAAGATAATGGGGTTGGTCAACGTCGGTCAAACTCGGCTCTAGGCGGTTTGATTGGTCAACTTTGGTCAACGGATTTTCAAAAAAAATTAGGGGCTAAATTGTCAAAACTGAAAACTTTTGCCAGGGTTCGTTCTCACTTCTCATTCCATCGTCCCCTGTGAAACCGTTTTCTCACTTTTTCTCTCGACTCAAAGCTGGGAGAACTTGAAGCTCACCCTCGCCTTTGCCATCACCTCTTGAAGCCGGAATCCATGAAATCAAATCGCACCCTCCCGTTTCTCCTCCTCCGTCTTCGTCGTTGTTAGAGCCTCCATTCTTTCCGACAACGGTCTTTATCATCTACACATGTTAGTTCTTCAAACTCGATTTAAGCTGTAAAGTTTCGATTTTATCTAGTAAACTCGATTTAAGTTGTTAATCAACGGATTTGTGAAGACTGCTCGATTTAAGCTCGATTTAGCTCGATTTAAGCTGTAAAGTTTCGGTCTTTATCATCTACACAGGGTTCGTTTCTAGGTCGATCGCTCAACAACCCTTTGTGAAATCGATTTTCCATAACCTTGTTGGAAGGCAGCCACAAATTGAAAGAGTTACTCAAATTCTGGGAAGACGTACAAAAAACAATCCCTGCCTCATTGGAGAACCCGGTGTTGGAAAGACTGCTATTGCAGAAGGTTTTGCCCAAAGAATTGCAAATGGGGATGTTCCAGAAACAATTGAGGGGAAGAAGGTAGGTTCCAGACTTCCTGTTTGTATATGTTCTAGTGACATGAGTTCAAAATTTCAATTAAAAGGTTAATTTTTGTTCCAATATTTTTCAGGTGATTACTCTAGACATGGGTCTACTTGTTGCTGGGACAAAGTATCGTGGAGAGTTTGAGGAGAGATTGAAGAAGCTGATGGAAGAAATCAAACAAAGTGATGAAATTATACTATTTATTGATGAGGTCCATACTTTAATTGGAGCAGGAGCTGCAGAGGGGGCTATTGATGCTGCTAACATCTTGAATATGCAAGCTTCAATTGGCCCATAGCACTTGTTAAAGTTTAAGTTTTAAAGTTCAATGTCTTAAAAGGCAGATTATGAATGTGCAATGTCTTTTGGAAGTGAAATTGGTTTCATTTTACCTGTTATACCCTTTATATTCAAGAGTGAGGATTCCATTTAATGTATGGACAGCAGTTAGGACAAGAATAAGAATGAGGATTTCATTTGCATTGAATTTGATAAACTCTCAAATTGCCCCTGTTGACAGTTTATAAAATTTTGAATTATTTTTTTAATAATTAATGGTCCCCGATTAATCCCCGTCTAACCAATTAATCCCTAGACCCCAATCCACCCTAGCTAACGTCTAGCGTTTCTACAACCTTGATATATATATATATATATATATATATATATATATATATATATATATATATATGCAATTAATTAGTGTGGATTCATTTGTACATGTTTGATGAAATGCAAAATAGTTGGAAAAGGGATGATCCAAACAGTATATTCAAAGGACCGGTCACGATGTTATCGGTATGGTGCTTTATCCTTTATTTCAATCCTTATTAATTATCTTCATATGATTAGTAAATAATAATCACTTGCTAAAACTTTAAAATGTTCATCTCTTATAGTTGCTTTATCTTTACTATACTTAATACTCAAATTTTTCGGTTGCTCATAAATATCCAAAAATTTCATCTTTGAATATTCCAACTATTCATCACTGTGAAGAGTCTGAACTATGGTAAAGAAGATTTGGTAGATGCCCGATCATTCTGGATTTTGATTTAGATGTCTAACAACCTAAGGTTTTTATCGTTTATTCTCCCTTGTATAATTTTTAATAATGAATATGCAAACATTATATGGATACACAACACATTATAATGTTTTTAAATAAACAAAAATCAAATAATTTTCATAAATGAACTAATAGTTTGTTCATTTATGAACATAATGCAAATTTTAGGAAAAAACAGGTTATTGTACGTATATATTAAAGGTACGGTTCACATATGATCATTTATGATTGCTTTGTTCATTTATGAACATAATGAATGTTTTAGGAAAAAAAAGATGTATATATGATAGGTATTGTTCACCCAAACCCTATTCAAAACAAAATAATCGTGATGAATAATTGTACTCAAACACTAGAAGGGATTGACTTATCACCTATATCTATGGAGGAGCTTGAACTAGCTTGTGGTGAAATAGAGGTACACACAGATTACGAAGAGAAGTATGTACCTAGGTTTGATCTTCTACAAAGATATGAAGAAGATGAAGATAACAAGTTGAAGGAAAAAAAGACTATTTATGTGCTTCAATCACGATTTGTTACAAGGGGTACTTTTATGGCATCAAAACTGATAGACGTGGAATAGAATGTTTCAAATAGATTGTTTGCTATGATTGAGATGTTATCAAATTAAGAATTTAAAAATATTTACTTTCTAATTAATTTATTATTATTATTATTTATTTTGTAGTGAAGCTATCTTAAAAAAATGAAGTGCTTACAAAGTATTTAGGATTGTCTTTGAGAGCTTTTACCCTCCATGATGATTATACAACAATGTCATTGATATGTGGAGTGTCTTTTTGAATCTTGATAATCGAAAAAAATCTGATACATCTCCGTTCTGATATTTCTTCAAAATTGGAACAATTGTAAGCAATGTTTGTTGGATATCTTGAGAATATGAAGCACAAAATGATTCCAAAATTGAAAAAAATACAGAGTAATACCTCTTGATTTTCAATGGAAAACAATAGAGAATTCACATGATTCTGGCGTTTTTTTGATGCTTCACATGGAAACATTTAATGGAACCACTGGAGAAAAATGGGATTGTGGGTTTGTCAAAGAATCAGATGAAGAAAAGAAAAACTCAACATGTTACGATGCAGGTATGCAACAAAGACGTTGGTGTCATATGAGAATTTGTTGAAATAGAAGGTGGTTAAGGAATCCGAAGAAGTTTCTCCTTTAATCCTTTTACCAGATCCGGAACCCTTTGTCGTATATTTTTTAGGTTTTGTATTTTAACCACATCAGTTTAGAAAAAATAATAAGACTTCCCTTTTATTTGCTTTTGTTTTTTGCTGCTTGTTTAGGTTGATAGGCTATCATTTTATCTTTAATTTCCTTAAGCTACTCACTAAACTTGCTCATTGCATCTGTATCTTCTTTATCCTCTTCTGATGCCATTTCAATACACGCTTGATACATAATATGCACATCTTGTACCATTTTACTACATGAACCATTACTATATCCACATCTATATGTTTGTTGCAAATGTCCAGATGATATAATTCATTTCTCCCAACGTCTTAATATGTATTTCTCTAGAATTTTGTCAATCTTTTTAAGGTTCAAATATAAAAATGTTACGAAAAGACACAACTTGATGAAATTAGAATTTACAAGAACAAGTTATTGTTTCCTTCTTCTTGTTTATCTCAACCTGCAAAAAGTTGTAACAAAATTCATATAAGTAAATCATAACATGTAAATTTTCACTTACGAACATATTATATGTTCTTAAATGAACCAAAAATCGATAGATGAAGAATCCATATAAAGTTAAGTACCATGTATTCTACAACATTAACACTTGTTTCTACATTACCATCATCTTGACGTGTATAATCACAACCTTCTTAATCTTTCCTAAAAAAATTTTTTTGTTCCTCTCTAACTTTAGACAACTCTAATTCACTCTCTTCAATACTCAAGGGATGTGAACATAACCACACACATTCAACAATTTCTTTTTGCACAATTACAAATATGTCAGATGTGTATACCTTACCTACATGTTGCTCTTGGGGTGTCAATTTATGACACGATATGCCAAAAATACACGACACGACACGAAACGAAATTGGGACGAAATCAAAATTCGGATTTGTGTTCATGTCAAGTGTAAAAAACATGATTTCGTGTCGTGTCGTGTTCGTGTTTATAATTCGACAAGAAATTCAAACGATTTAGCATGTGTTTGTCGTGTTTATCGTGTTATATGTGATTAAGTATGAATTAAATAAACTAATCAGTATTTTATATTATCTTTGTCGTGTCATGTCGTGTTTTTCGTGTTTAAATTGATTCGTTTTCGTGTTAATGAAAATAAACATGGCATTGTGTTGTGTCGTGTTTGTATTAAATTAAACATTGTTGTTTTGTGTCGTGTCAGACAAAAACATGACATGATTTCCTGATTTGACACTGTAACACCCATAGATTCGGGCTTGTCAATTAAGATATAATAAGCGTTAAAAAAAATTTATATAAAAGATTATCTAGGATAAATAATCTTAACCAAAGTAATAGTTAGGGTCAACAATTGTAACCTATTTTACGTAATAAAGAAGAATTATATTAATATTATGTGTTTCATGATTATTATAATATAATAAAATAGGAAAAATCAGCCGAATCGTCCGTAAATCATAAAAATAAGTGCGTCAAAACATATATATATATTTCGAAACTACACCTCGTCCCGATCCCGAAAATATAAATTTCGTAGAAATCCGACTCCGTATGAATTAGATATTATTTTTCTAAGATATAAAATTCAGTTGCGTACAAAGAATGTATGACGTAAAAAGCTACGAAGAGAATGATTGACTTTAAGCTAATGCGACCAAAAACAAAATCGTAGTACTCCTTAAAATATGAATTTTGAGAAAAAGAATGCGAAAAACGGAGTCCGTACAAGATATTTGTGATTTTAGCAAAATCATTTAATTTTATAAAAATATGGACAAAAATATAAATTCAAAATTAGCCGACGGAGTCTAAACAAAAGTTGTAGATCTCGTCGATAGCTATGCGTGGATATAAAGAACGTCAAAAACGGAGTTCGTATGAAGGAGTTATAATTTTTAATAGCACATTTACCTATTAAAATAAAGTGTAAATCATATATACGTATACATATATATACATATGTAGATATCATTAGAAAGGTATCGACGATGCGGTCGTTATAAGACTAATGTTGAGTACTTTCGACATTGTACAAATATCATTAAATCTATTTAAAATAGTATTATAAATGGGTGTTTAGTCATTTAAGTAAATATAGAGGGTGGTTTTTGAAAATTCAATTACTATAAATAAGAGCCTCTAGGCTCTCATATTTCTTACACCATTCTCCTGATTCAAGAGTCTTTCTCTTCTTATCCCCCGAGCATTTCGGTCCCTCGTGATTCGACTTCTCTTTCTGTAATTTTAGTATGGTAAGGTGAGTGTCGGAGCGCTGCAAGAATCTTTCTTAGAAAGATTCAACGACGAAGTTCTGCCCCTGTAGAGCCCGACTCCTAGCTAAAACCCCCTTGTAAGTAAGTTATGTTTACCCTATTTTAAATATAGCTTATATTTAAAATGAGTATTGTTATTATGAACTTATAATAAATATTTGGGTTATTTTTATGACTTATATAAGTGTCGTTATAATATCTTTTTAACTACTCGCGGTAGGGGGGAATATGGTTTAAAGGGCCGCATAGGGTTGTTGGATTTCAGAAGTGTTATATGCCAAAATGGTCCTGCCCTCTGATGTTTTATGTCTGGCCCCTGTCTGTACATAGTGGTTGGAAAATATTGTTCAAACACTTATATAATAATAATAATGCTAAGACTAATAATTAGTCATGGTAAATAATAAACTAAAATCTAGTGGTAATAATACTAGATTTCGTCGAAGGAAATTATATTGTTAAGAAGCGAAGCGCTGTCCGAGTTTGGAATCATCACTTTAACAAGTGAGTGCATAGTTATTTTCATCTTTCACATAGATATGAAGTATTTAATATAAATTACGTGCTATGTGCATATTATCTGTGTACTTAATATTTATGCTGAATGAACAAAAATATACATGTTTTAATTTCTGTAAACGGTATATGTATTTTATACATATAATTATGATGGGTAGATTAAAGATGAGATGAATGATGAGTGATGAAATATGAGTGGTAAAAGATAGTGAGAAGCGATGAGCCAAGCGATGAACCAAACGATGACCCAAGCGATGACCCAAGTGATGACCCAAGCGATGGCCCCGTCATCTAACGGAGTATAGATGACAACCACATACTATTCTAGACAGTCTAATGGAACACTAGAAGGCTCGCAACTTGTAGGTTTTGTGAACGATGTGTTCACCCAGTGTACTCTAAAAACCCATTGACATGTATTGCGGGTGGACTCCCTAAAATAATACT